AGTCAAACTTTTTCATTCGTATTTAAATTTATGAATTTATTTTTAAACTGAAAGACTTATTTTCATCAATCCATTTTTTTTTTAATTTAATAACCCCATGTTATATACGATAGCATCACGTAAGACCATTTTAAGTGATTAATAATTAAAAAATTAGAAGAAATTTAAATTATTATATTTTATAATTTATATCTTTAATTGACGTGGTAACCAAAAACAAACTACTGAATACAATTGGCTGACCATCCTTATATCAGTAGAATAGCCAAATTAAAAAATGACTTCTCATTACGTTAAATCAACTTAAAGCAACAACCAGTTGATTCCTGACACTTAATACTATCCTTTTGTCATAACAATCTACAATACCTCATCAGCTTCTGGATAATCCATTTCAGGCATGACTCTCCTCGCGATCACTGAAATCTGCTCCCTGCCACTTTGGAGCTCTTCCTTGGACACGCCGTTCAACAGGCACAAATTATAGATCCACGTGGTACTTCCAGCTTTGTAAATAGGACAGTAGGATACGTTATGGCGACTAAAACAATTGATTCAGTTTGATTCCAAAAGAATTTCTCCTGCGACAAATCAACGAACTACTACTATCAAAATCCGTACTTGTCGATGTAGAAAACTCCGTATTGAGGCGCAGGTGGTTCTTTAAACTCCACTTCATAGCTTGCCGATCTGTAAGCGCCCAGTTTGTACTTTTTACAAACCCTTTGCACTTGCTCTATCCTGTCACGGTTTTCTATCGCAGCCTCTCTCTGAAAAAGACACGACCTTTTACGTGACTTATCTTCGGAAAAATAAATCATTTTTTTCACCATCATCTGCACCCACAAACCATAGATCTGCGGAAATCGATCTGGCCACTGTCAATACCACCTGGCTCGTCGACATTTCTACTCCTGGTGACAATTAAGAACGCCAGAGTCCCAAAAATAAGCAGCACCAAGAACCTCGCCACGTTCCTCCCGAATTTTCGTGACATCTTCGGCTCGTCAATCAACAACGACTACCTATATATAATATCTTGTAACAATCATTGTCGATCTACAAATATCGTAACTGCGCAATCACAACAACAGAAAAATACCAGATCGAGCACCTCAAAGCCACGAAAATGACATCGTGCGTGTCAAAGACACCGTTCGCTTCACAAAACACGGATACACTGATTTCCTCTTCTCTCCGGTGTCTTGGAACGCTTGTCAAGTATATATGATACCAGAAGAAGAGAAAAAGGAGGGGCAGACGGTACACGTCATCTTCCGAGCAACCTTGAGGAGGGCCGTTGATCTACTCCTGAAACCGGCTTACCTTTTCAGCCGATCGAGCCTTGCAAGTTTTTTTATACAATACCTCACTGTGTTAGTTGTTACCGTGTCTGCACTTTTCTTCACCTCGAAAGAGTTGTATCTAATTAGTCATTACGCGCTAGCAAGCGTCTATCATTACGTCCAATTAACGGGTTGATGCTATGTTTTCTTTTAACCATTGGTTCTTGATTTGGTGTTTTTTTTTCTTTTCTGTTGTAAATGGTGTTTACGTCAAGATTTCCTTCTCTGTTCATTCATTTCTTCTGATCGACAACTTTATAACTTCTACGTTAATTATAAAATAGATAAATATTAACGTTTGTCATAACTGTTTGGATAACACTCGTTTGAGAAGAAAAAAAATGGACGAATGACAATGATGATTGTAATTGTTTATAGTATAAGTCGTGAACTGGAATAAAAATGATTCGTAACGAGTGAGTTGTTAACTCATTTATTGGGTCGTGATATAATTATGTAAAACCGATGTATTTATGCGTACACATTATCGATTTTGTAAAAGCTCGAGCTCTTGTCAATTTTATCATCGAATGATTTAAAAGTCCAAATTTAGCCGGATTCCCGAATTATTCACAGGTGTGTTTGTTCATCTCAAGTATCTTTTTAATTTAAATGTTAATATTTTTTCGAGAATCGTAAGCTCTCAGATTTTGCGAATATATTTCTTACAGCTCCCAACAGTGACTCAAAGTTAAAAGCTATCATACTTTCGATGCTTCAAATGTACAGAACGAGTGTTGTAAAACACTTATTACACGTTGGCATACTCAATTTTTCATCAAAATATGCATTTCCTTACAAGATAATAAAATAGATAGTTGTTACTTTTATGTCAGTAAAATTGTTGAATGTGAAAAATGTATTATTAAAAAGAAAGCGTCTGTACTCTACGCTGTGATTTCATGTCATTACAGACGTGCGTACGATCTAAGTTCACAAGTCATTTTTTTTGGCAAATCTTTGGTGCAGGAGGTGATATTGAGAGAGTTGAAATGAATTTATACTTAAAACTCTTCCAACCATTGTCCAAAGGATTTAAATAATTTTCTTACCACTGCTGGATTTGGAAATACGTTCCTAAGCCATGTTGTTTGATAAAATCATGTGATGGTGGTAATTGCGCCAGAGAAAGTTTCGCACTTTTTGATAGTTTGTAAAAATGATGTAAGTGGGGTTGCCTGAGGTCATATTTAACGTCACCTTTTTAAAAAAAAGCTGCAATATATTTTTATGCAAAACTTATTTCTTCTTTAGGTACATTGTCACGCACAAACGTATTCATACGTGTTTTGGCCATATATCATTTTTATTTATAAATTTCATGAATTCTGTATACAAATGTTGAAAAATGCAGATGTAGTATCACAAATACATGAATAAATCCAAGATACTGTTGATGTTAAAAAAAATTGACTATAACTTTTCCTGCATTTGGTTTCCAAAGATATGCATATAAGTACTGTTCCAGCAAAAATGATAAAGTTGTGAGAAGGTCCGCATCTTAGCCAATAATAACTGCATTTTTGAAAACTGTGATGATTTTCCTTTTGCACATTGTAAGTACAGTAACAATACCAACATCTTAATTTACTTTCAGTTTCTCAATATTAACTTCTTTGCTTTTTTGAACCAAATATCAAATAAAATAACAAAATGTAGGTATTTAATAGAGTTATGGCACTGGACTGGAATCGATGACTGATTGGAAATAAAAATATGTTTCAAATAATAAATTAAAAATTTTTTTTTACTAATTTACTTGAAATTTAGTTACAACATAACTTCATGTTTTGTATGTAATATAAAAAAATAATATTCAGGTATACTTAAATACAATTTTTTTGAAAAAAAAAAAAAATCACTGTGGTTATATGTGAGCACCCCGAGGCTATAGAACCCGACGTAACAGTCAAATTATTGTAATAATTATTTATTATAAACTAATAAAGTTAAAACGCCTTTTTCAATACAATAAGTTAATAATTTTTTCAACTAAATAAGAATTAGAACACTATCTGTATCACAGGAATGAAAATCGGAAAAATGATATGTTCGAGTGATCATATTTCGGACAATTTTAAACCACAAAATTTTTTCAAACCCGCATTTTTTAGAAAATTTTGTCTGTATTTTTTCTGTGTAGCAATTTCTGTACCTACATTCGACCAAAAATAAAATTATGGACAAGAAAGAAAAAAATTTAGTGCAAAATATATTTTCCTTTCCGAGATATATTGAAAAATTGAAAGGGTTACATTTTCACCCCTATTTCCAAGTTCTACCCTCTACTTAAATTGCACTCAGTGATTTTTTTCTTCTTCCATGATCTCTGGACTACTGGCAATAAAAACCCGTGAACTTTTTCGTTCCTTTTTATAAGACATAATCAATAGTCTATATTCTAAAAGTCCTTCACTGTAGTTACTAAAATATTTAAAAAAATTGTTCTTAACAAAAGTTTATGATTGTAAAATATGGTTATAAAAGCATCATTATTTATTAAAAATAATATTTCTTACTTCTTTTCTACTCAGTCCATATGTTTCCTAATGATTATGAAAAAACTGAATCTAGCTCAAAAAAATCATTTAGCTATATTAAACGCTTGGTATTAATTAAAGGAAACATTATGACCCACTGTCTAATACGTATGGTCTAGGAATAAGTTTTTCTTTTAAACCAGATAAAAAATTGGTACGGGAAGGTACAGGGTCGGTCTGTTCAAGAAAACACAGAAATTATGTTTCAAAAGACATGATTTAATGTTTGATATTCAACTTGGTTTACGATTAACAAAAACTCAAAACATGGTACAAATAAAGATAGTACGTTGACTACAGAGCAGGAAATTCCCAAAAGAGAAAATACGTAAACTCACGAACAAACTAACAGTCTGAATAATTCATGAAACATGAGAACCAAAGCGCTGCATATGAAAACTTCAACATGGCCATTTCCTATGGCAATAACCTCTCAACGAAATTTCTATAGTGTATGGAGAGAAAGATTTCTTGCAGCCATTATGCAGTCTTAACGCTATAAAGCCGAGATATACATATATATATGTGTATAAATATTACACACGATAGTGCGCCACGAAAAGTGATTAGGCGAACGTGTTGCGTGCGGACGAAGAACACGTATACACACACGTGCATAATACATACGTATTTTAGTATCCTCTATATCCATGGATGTGTGTATGTATTTATGTTTGATTCCTCCAGTCCTGCATTCGTTGGATCCTCAACTCCTATTGTTCTACTTGTTCTACATATGCAAACTGTACTGCGCATAATGGGCACACATTGACGACTATTCATGTATACAGTAGGGCGCTATCGAAATTTACTTACCCGGTGCCACATGGCCATTCTACTCAGATTTTATTGATTGTTTTGTGTGTCTATTTACAAAGTCCTGAAAAAGAAAATAGGGTTTCGGGATTAATTGCTGTTTTACCGTAATGATTCTTCATAAAGATTTTTATAGTATGGCCTGGATGTAGGTCGAGCTTCTCAATTTTAGACAATTTTTCATCGAAAGGTACTTTTTTCGTTAGATACGTTATCGTTTCAAACGTTTTAGAAACTTTTGTTATACTTTGATAAAAAAAATGCTAAATTATCAGGGATTGACTGAACTGTTCCATAGCGTAGAAGTAAAAGTGTTACTATTTCCTGATCTCAATGAATGAGAGTAAAATCATCGCATTATACTTTAATATACATCTTATTGGTTCCAATTTCATGATTCAGAATTATCAAACTCATGAAGACATTACTCTTGATTTTAGTAAAATAGTTCAGTCTTGAAAATTTTGATTCGTTGTTTTTTAAGAAAAAATTACGAATGTATACAAACCTTAAGGTAGTTCAATGATTTTCCTAAAATGCAGAGAAAGTAGTGAAACTTTCAACAATAATTATTCAGTGTAAGGAAACTGTATGAAGTTATAAAATATTTTCAACCAAAAATATTTGAACTGATAAAATTTTAACTTCTAATCCAAGCTCTTAAAGATATCAATAAATTAAGGCTTGTTTTTAATTAATAAAAAAAATTTATGGTTAAAAATATTGGAAAAACTCATAGCTTCCTGACATTTTTAATAGTTATTATTAAAAGTTTTATTGTATTCTCTGCATTTTTAGAGAATTGGTTTCCAATTTCAAAATAACTATCTAAATATTTGTGCAAGTTGTTCTAAAAAAAAAAAAAAAACAATAGAGGTTCTTTTAAATACATAATTTCTTTTATAAAATTAAGTCTCTTGGAATCTATACAAAAATTCAAATTCAATACAAATATCTCGACAAAATTTCATTAAACTATTATGCATAGTTTTAAAGTTTTGCATTGTCATAAAGAAATTGTACTAAAAAAAATCATGAGTAATCATAATGCTTCAAAATAAAAAATGAAGCTATTTTTGCGTTATTTAAGATACATTTGTTTAAAAAATCAAACAAACGTTTTTTCGCTACAAAAAAGCCAGTAAATCATTACTTGGATATCAAATGATTGTATCAACAATTAATATAGTACAATAAAGTCAAAATATCTAAGCCCTAGATAATTAAAATTAGTTAAGTAGGCGGTTCCCCAGATCCAACCGATTAGACTATGCACACACGAAAATTACACAGACGTACGTTTTCCCAAGACTTGTCTTGATCTACTAAATTATAAAAACAAATCTAACATGCTTTCAAGAAATCTTTATTTTCAACTGGTGTAAAAATTGTTCCAGCTGTACGAGCCAGAACTTTTACGAACAATCAAACTGTTAAAGCTCTGAGTAAGAGTCAAGTAAAAAAAAAAATTTGATTTCTAAATTATCCGAATTTTCAACCAAAAACGTATCAATAAATAAATCATCATCATACGCAAGGCTATGTGAAAAAATGCAATGCCAATCAAACGGTTAAATTTCAGGAGGACTGGCGAGCGCAAGTACGTGGCTTAGAACGGATCGCCTCAGCGTTGCGGACCCCCTCGGCTCTAACAACTCTAGAGCCCAGGCTTGGCTCGTTACTACTTGCTGTACTAGGCTGCGAGAGATGCTGCCGCGTCGCAGCTGCTGGTCTCGCTGTGGCCAGGGTATAGTGTGTCTCCTTTGTTTGCGTTTGTTTATTTGTTCTTTCATCAGACAAAGTGTCTAGTAACAATGATTAATGTATCTAGCTGTTTACGCGTGTTTCTTCAATGTTTTACACTTGAGATTGCTATAAGAAGTAGAGTGGAGTAATTATTTATGTATTGCGATGTTTTGAAATGATAAATTACCCATCTAAGCAAGCTCAAAAATGTATTTTTTACGATAATTAATCTGATTAAACATAGTGTAACAAAACAATGTATCTCTCGTCTATTTACAAGGTGGTACTGGCAGGGGTGTCCGAGGAAGCTTTGAAGAATCGACTGCCGCTAATCTCTTGGGGTCTGGCACGCCACGGTGGTCCGAATGCAGCTCAGCTGGCCAGGCTGACAATGCTACGAGTAGGGGCTGGCCTCTTTCTCGAAAAGTTACTCCAGCCTCAGTGCATCGGTGCCAGGAATTCCAAGGTACGCTTAATCATGGTTCAATGAGGAACGAGAGATTTTTTTTTTCTTTCGTCTGGGGCGCAATTAATTCATTCAACACTATAGAGTTGAACCAATTTTTCATTTCAATTCCTACCGATTAACAAGATGTTAAGAAAATAATTGGTAATTTTTAAGTAGATTAAGAAAAATGTTATCAGTACTAAATGAGCCTTTTTCTTGCCATATGAAACAATATGTATATTATATGTTAATAGTATAATTGAAGTATAATTAGCAGTAGAGAGGAATGCTAAGAAGTGATTTTTAATAAAATTTTCTTAAAATTAATACTAATGACTATTTTAAACCAATAATTTTGACATACAAAAAATTTATTTGCTTCGTGAGGACCTTTTTTCCACAATTCGATCGTTAATTCTTACGTTTTAATCGTTAACTTATAAAAAAAACAAAAAAAAACAAAAAAAAAACGAATTTGTTCACAGTTTTTGTATGAAAACAAGTCCAAAAGAAAAAATTGGACGTAAATCATCTCAACGGCGTACCATCAACTTTACCCGTCAAGTTTTAGCCTAGGCGAGCGTAATCACTGTTCTAAACCCATCCCACATTTTTCCATGTGCAATTAATCGAGCACTCAATGATTCGTCTGGATTAATTCTTCTTTAAAAGTCCCTCGTGGCGTTCAAATGACGCTTTCATTCGATCCCACCAATTATAAATGCAAACTGCCAATTGACCTATAACCATTCTCGCCATTAACTTGATTGTTTTTTTTCTGTTCCCTATCCACAGACGCGGGAAAACACGCTGCAACTACTCATCTTCTCACTAGTCACGTTTCCCAGTACCGAGTTCAAGGTAAAGTCCGCGATCGACAAGGTCGTCATTATGGTCGGCGATCGCCGTAAGAGGGTGCGACACTCGGCCCTCGACACTCTGGCGATACTCTCCCAAATTTACGACTCGGAGGTAAAAATTGACAGAAATTTTGTATCAGTACGAGTGAATGGAATTTTTCTAACTTGAGAGTGATCCATATTTTGTTCGAAGGATATACTGGAAGCGAGCAAGCGGTACACGAAGGGTAAACCGGATGGGCCAATGATCCACGCGGCTATCAAGACTCGGCTCTCTCGGAAACTGTTGCCGAACGTGTCGTCGGATGGACTCGTTGTTTACGGACTTCAAATATCGTCGAATTCCCAATACACCGGTCAGTTACGAATCAAGTGATTACTCGTACATTGTTTGACAAGATATACATATATAGTCTACTTTTGCTTATTTTTCATGTCATAGGAGCTGATGTGGAGTGGATAGTCGCTGGCAGTGGGTCAGTTTCGCCAGGAACGGGTCGTACGCGCGGACAGCTTATTACGATGTCGAAAAGGGAAAATGACGAGAGTGAACTGTAATTACGAAACGTTTTAATATTTGATCGAATCGTTAAATATTTTATACTGGTTCATCGGGTTTATTTTAGTTTTTTAAGTTTTTAAGCATGTTTTAAATATTATTGAGACTGAAAAAGATCTTGTTAAAAGATATTAATATTAGTTGATTAAAATAAGTAAAATTGTAATTAGTTACACTTGAACTTTATGGTAAAAAAAAAATCATACGTACCACGTATAAAAATTTACACGCATTTTCACGTATTTATATTTACGTTTATAGCTTACATTTTACGCATTTTTCATCCCCTGTATTTTTCAAAAAGTATTGATAAATCAAACGATGAAAGTTTTAAAGGGATTCGCATTAAATGTTAACTACGTTTATTTTACAGGAAATATGACTAGTATAGTAATTATTGCCGTAAATCTATGGTAACGTTGAAATGTGCTAGTTACAAGAAATTTTACCCTATATAAATGAGTATATTTCACTTTTTACTGGAGTAATTTTTGTCGCAAATTCACTGTGAAAATTTTTGTATTTGGACAATGTGACCTAAAATAACCATAATTTTACGGTAAATAATACTGTACTTATTTTTTACGGATACTGATAACTAAGTTAACTAAAAAGATATATTCAAAAATCCTTGCAGTTTCTTCTGTGTAAATCTTTAATCGGTAACAATAGGGATCTGAGACATTACGTTTTCACAACACACATGAAACATTTCTCAGTAAAAAATTTCATTGTGTTGAACATTGGAACAATATTGATTTTTCTAAAAATAATCGCATTATTAAATATATTATGCCAGATGACTTTTCACTTTTGTCACAGAACCGACTACGCAAAGAAGCCGAAAGCCCGACCGTCGAGCGAGCGCAGTTTGTCAAGTGGGCTCGAGAAGGACGAGAGAACGTCGTCGTGGAAACTTTTACCCCAAACGGACGAGGTAATGAATCCAAAGATTACTACTCGGTCGAAAGAAAATTACCTTTTCACAAATTCCTTCTAAATAATTTGAGGGTTCCTCCCATACGCACATATATACTTCCAAACTCGCACTTGCCACTATGAGCGGCAAACTTCATGGCACCGATTACGCGGGCGTTTATTTTTCATGTTTTACACGCGTATCAAAGTTGCCGCGCCCTCGTTATCACTATTTAATGTTCGATTTCATACTCGGTTACATTTTCAAAAAATCATCGAAACAACATGTCATTGTACCTCCGGTGAAAACCCATCACTATTCCCATATATACTCAGATAAAACGATAGGCTAACCAAATACCCAACGCCACACACCCCTGTACAGCATCGTAAACAATACAGCGAGAGAGGTGCAGTTGGTTCAACGCAATCGAATGAAAATTGGCCTGTTTGTTTCAGAATGACAAGCCCCGCAGGAAGGTAGACCGCGCCTCCAAGTCGGCCGATGTATCCAAAGGTACACATACACACAAGCCAATCTCAAACCCCAGGTGGACGTCAAGTTGAATTGACATGTCAATATCTCTTCCTCAGCTCACACCCCGGCGTTCGAGCTCCACAGCAACCAAGTGCTCAAGGAGGAGGAGGAGGAGGAGGACAGAACTCGCGAGCCCTACTCAACCCCCAAGCGAAGACTCGAGGGCCCGAGTCCCAATGGCGAACCCGTGAAGCCCGCGTCCACGGACGAGTCGTCCACTCAGGTGGGAATCGAATGTTAACGCAGTCCTATTTTGTACCACTCCTGTTCCTTCCAGGGGCGAGTCAGCAGCAGCGCACCCCCACCGAGGCACGAGTCCCGGATCCCGGTCTACATGGGCACGAAAGCCGCTTCTCCCGAATCATCGAGAAAGGACAGCTGCTGGTCGGAGGACGCGTTGCGCCCCAACGCCAACAGGTGGTTGACGACACAGGGACCAAATTTCTCCTTTCTAGGACTAACATTTCGTTAACTTTGAATTTTTTTTTCAGCAGCTATCCAAGAATGCTCCAGAAGCGGAGTTGGGACGTGGGGAAGAGCGCAGCTCCTCGGACGAGCTACACGATAAGCTACGCGTACCCGGGCAGGTACGTGCACCCGCGGTACAGGGACTCGTGCGAGGAAGCGAGGAACGACCCGGTGCTCCAGGTGAGGCGAACTGGTTACCGTAGATTTTTTCGCTCGAGGAAGCACGTGTGTCAAGGACGTGTGGTTGTTTGCTTTCAGAAGTGCCGGGAGAAGCCAAAGGGTGGGTTCAGGGAGAATCAGCGGGTGTTCAGCTACGAGAAACTGAATAGGGGTGTAGACGACGGGGCGAGGCATCCCCGGGGTTTCGACGAGTCCTCAGGATATCGGTACACATCGAGAACCTGCACGGAAACGTAAGGAGGTTGTTTTACTTGTTTCTTTGTTTTTCATTTCTTCTCGTGCGTTTAATGCTCGCGGATTTGTGGTTTCAGGTACGAAACGATATACCAGAGGCAGCGCCGGTTGAAGGAGAGCCGAGGGTCGGCACCCGGTGTTCCCTTGTACGGCCATGCCTACGAGGGCTACGTTGCAGACGTGAAATTTCCCGTTGAAAGGGTTAGTGTCGGGATGGTACGTTGAAAAACGCCTTTTGTCTGGCACATTGGCAAAGCGGGTCAAAGTTACCCATGACTTGTATAACAATATTGTCGTGAATTCGAATTGGAAATTGCGAACTTTGACCCGCTCGATCTTTGTTGGTTATGGTTTATGTATAACAGGAAAAATATTCCACGTAACTGACAAAGTAGGCTTAAAAGTTTTGGATTTCAATGCGAGTTCCAGAGTAATCCGTTTGTTGGTTCTCAGGTCAAAGGTACCAGCAGAACTCAGGCCGAGTCTAGTCCACAGAAGAGAAACGCGTTCGCGACGCCGTTCGACCAGTCGACAATGGCAATGTGAGTATATAACGGAACTATATAATTTGTCTCTCTTTGTCTTTCCCCGGCTATTGTGCATAGTTCTTTGAGTCAAAGATCATCGATGGACTACACGGTTTTTTGCATAAAATGTTTGCAGAGCTCGGCAGGTCTTTGCAGCAGTGCACTTTTTTAAACAAAATTTACGAACGGACTCGCGTGTCGATGATAAGGCAATGGCACGTCATACGACTAAACCATCGTTTTTAAGAATGGCCAAATGTCGCACTCTCCGGAATTACGCTTTTATGTTGGAGAACGTACCCATCTTTTAATAGTTTTAGACGAGTATTCCATTCAAAAGCGTTATCGGTGCTCCAACGAGTTATCGAATGTGGACTCGGCACGCGTGTCTTGAAAAATCGCTATTGTATACCGTCACAGGTTCTCGACGAAAAAAACAGAAGACCATCGCCCACATCGCGATCAATATCGATTTTTCTCTTTTTCCTCTTCCGTATATGTACAGCTCGCGATAAGTACAACACTGCAGTGCGACTGTTGTGCGTGTGCGGATGCGGGACACACTTGCATGTTCCACCCTACGGTGTATTATCGGGCGTTACTCCTCCGCTCCTTTCCGCTGAATATTTCAAGTTCATGTCGATCCCCGTCTCGTTTGCCATACATGTGTTGTCTATTATATACCCATTATAAGGTGTACCCGTTCGATCAACCGTTTTTTCATCCCCGTTCGAATACGAAGTCGAACGGTGTATTTAAAAATTAAAAATTTAACGGCCATCCGTGCTACTTGACGGGTTTTCCAGGTAAAACAGGGTTTTCCGCTTATCGTCGAAACTTGACGCTGATTCTTTTCCCAATAGCTCGTATGGCCTGTATCGATGCGAGGCGGTACGTTTTTGCGATAACGTTCGAGGAACCTGTTCCAAAATCCCAGTTTTTCACGTTTTTCTTTGTATGGCAACAAATTGTTCCGGTGAAGTGGTTTTACCTATACGCCCAGGGCTGCATTTTCCATTAGTCACTTCGGCAATGCATCGAGTCACGAAAATACGAACTCTTTGAAATAAGAGCTTTCCAGTTTGATGAGAATCGTGACTCGTTGCATTCAGGTGACTGTCCTAAATTATGGGGGAAAAAAAAATCGCATGCGTTGTCGGTCATCTCTTACCAACGTTATCGTTGGAACTATGACAGTATGTACTATAAATAAAAGAGAAACGCCTATTTGTAGTGAAACAAAAAAACTCCGTGTTATATATATTATGCAGGAGACACGAGCGAGTGGACGCGACGTTCGTGCGTCTCTTTGGCCTAAATTTGAGGCGTCGCAAGTATTGAGGTCACCGAAATACGAACACGAGCTCCCTTTCCCTCTATATACTGCGATCGCGACGATTGCGTAGCTTAATATAACGTGCCTGCGTACCAACGTGTAATATCGATCCTGATGGTTCTCCATGATGTTGTTAACGTGAACGTGCCGGTATTCGTTTCGGCGGGAAAAAATCGACCGTTCCGATTTTTTTTATTCTTCTTTTTTTTTTGCGCAATTTCTTTTTGCTCCTTTCGAGCTAAATATGTCTGGCTTTTGGTCAGACTTGCTGCTGAATTTTTCATGTGACAGGCCAAAGTCGAGTGGCGTGTGTGTGTGTGTTTAAGAATTCAGGTGGTATTTTTCTCAAGGATATGCGGTGTCTAATGCCTCGCGCGTGAAGAAGCTCAAGCAACCCCCGCAAACTGGTAATAATTCGTACTACGTATTGTTCTAGTTGGTTTATCAGTGTCGAGTCCTAGGAATTTCTGGCTTTTTCACGCCCGTGTCTCTAAATATATCTTCAGCATTGACTCCTCTAAAATTGTATTTTTCTATCTAGTCGTTTTCCAATAGAAGAATTGTTTTTTTTTATCCTTAAGTTACTATACATAGCTGTCTATACGTTGTCTACCATGCCAAAAATATCAATGCTGAAATCAGTCGTAAATTACATCGTTGATTCTGCGTGGGTTCCATGTTGAATCTCTGTTGATGATGCAGTGTTGAATCGGCATTGATTCAAGTTGATATTAGTGGTTGACTTCAAAATAATGCTTTTGTTGTGTTAACATTGCAGTTACAATTTAAATAAACATTTTTAAAGATGATAACTTCACTACTGTCAAGTAGAAAATAAATTAACGTTGTAATTTACGTTGTAATTTACGACTTATTTCGGAGTTGATGTAGCATTGATATTTTTGATAATTTTTTTTTTTCAGCCCTTGTAAGTCATTCTGTGAGTCTATATAACTAATTCTCTATACTTTACTACTTGCTTCTATTGTGTCTAAATCTAAATACATCCCTGCGACAAAAAAAAACTCAATACCTTTGTCTCCTTTTTTAGCCGCTTCATGATAATTCTGGATTTTCTTCTGTATTTTTTTTTATTCTGTTATAATTATTTTTTTTAATATTAATTTTTTTCTATCTAACCCAGGAATTATTTATCTTTATTTATTTTTAGTTGTTAACGAAAAATTTGTTTCTAAATTTCTGTTTTGTATAATTATTTCTATGTTTGTCACTTCGCTCATGATAACGATCGGTGTTAAGTTTCTGTTACTCTTTCGAACTTCGTAATTGAGTTTTTATTTGCAGTTCTGCCTCTTTATTTCTCTTGTCTTTATGTCTGTTTTGATTTGTTAAAAAAGTGATTTTATAAAATGAGCTTTGAGCACTGATAAATAGAAAACATTGACTCTGTCAAAAATATAATTAAAGTTTTACGCTGTAGACTCAAAAACCCCATTTTGGTGGATTTGTGAAAAAGTCACCTTTTGGGATCGAAGTGATGATAAAACCAACCCCTACGCGAAGTTCGTAGCAAGCAAGCATACATTTTTCACGCTAAAGGGTAATCAGTTTTTTCGAGTGCGTACAAACGGTGGTTAGCAATAGAGGGGTGCACTATAGATCGCAAATATACCTCATCTCGATTGTCCGGCGGAGGGTAATCAAGGGTGGAGTCATGCATGTACGCTTGTTTAGGCGACTGACCATGTTTTTATTATTTTGGTATCGAGGACTTTCTGGAAAATCGGTATTCAGCGTTTGCTGGAACGAGGTATTGGCCACCATTAAAGTAAACGGCTACAACGGATTAGTCGGTATTGTAACCAAGAGAATTTCCTATAGTTTAAGACAATCGTGAATACAAAATAGCTGTTTAGAAAATCAAAGAAATTTGAATTTCCGATCGATCATCGATCAAACCGGTTAGCCTAATCAAATCAGTGTCAAAATATCAATCCATTCTCGCATACCACCACTCTTGAACGGATTTCTTGAACAAAAAAACTGCAAACCATTGGTGCACGCCTGAATTCTACCCCGTCACGTTTTCGTTTAAGAAAATTACCCACCTCCTCGTTTCACCATCGTACTCATTGCACAAAAGACCACCCCACGTCTTGCCTTCGATCAAATTTCTGCCCTGTGTAATTGTACTTTTTGCATTTAACGCTGCCGCACACCTTCAGCTCGGCTCACGTTGCATGGATCGAACGTCGGTGCGTAAACATTAGTAGAGGCTCGCAGAGTTGCGTGCACCTATAGTTCGACTGTCTACGCGCATATGCGCAACTGAATAATTTAAAGGACATTACGGAAGGATACACCCATTCGTGCCTGGTGTGCGAAAGGGGGAGTGCACGCAGTGGGGGGAGGTTGATGTGCAGTGGGTGCCACTAATGTATGAGCAAAGAATGAAAATTGCCTTTTAATATTTCAAGCACCATGTGTCGAGAGTTTCGCGTTGATCGAGGATTCGGAGGGCGTGATTTTATTTGCCCGTACTTACAGTTGGCGTACAAAGTTGGGTAATTTCATTCGAGGCATTAAGTGTTGCTTCGATTACTCAATCGGTTGACACTTTTGTCGAGAGTGATCGTATTAATGACGACTGCGAATTCATGAAATATTATTGTAATTAACCATTTTTTAAAATTTATTTTTAATTTTTTATCAAGACACGGTGATTATAACAAGGTAAACCTTCAACACGTACCCCATGTTAAACATCCATACACATACCCTCACGTACATATGGGTGGGTGTATCTCTTTCTCTCTCTTATCCTTCGTCCTTTTCTCTCAGGCACTTCCAGCCCTACTCGACTAATAGTCGCAGTGGCAGCGCTTATGGAGCGAACCAGGCACGAGCCGACCGCACCGGCGGGTTGTCAGTACAGTCGTGCGTGTCGAGCCGGCCGGTCTGCTCCTCGACGATTCAACCCTTATCGAACGACTTTGGTTCTTTTTTCTTTTTTTTTTCGGTGCTATTAGAGCGTGCGCGCAATGTAAAGAGTTGGACGGTGTGTTTGCGTTGGCACGCAAGTTTCGCTGGTATATGTATGGTTTGATGTGTTTTCACGTGTACGCGAGAATTTTCACTACATTGCACGTTACTGTGATAACCATTTTCTTTTTTTTTTTTTTTTCGGCTCAGTGCTGTAATACAAGCGAGTAGTTAGCCAAGTGAACCTAGAATTTTATAGAAAAGTATCCATTAATCATACGTAATAATCTTGATTGTCGGCTTAAGTTTGTTATTATTATTTGTTCGACCTTCACCTTTTTTTTGTTTTTCCGCGGTAAATGAGCATACCTGGAGGAGCAATGAAAATAAATAGTATCGATTTTTCATTACGAGTCTCCAACACAAGTTGCGCAGCAAGCGTTTATGAGACTAGTTCAATAACGAAAACTGTTTTGTTACGTGATTGCTCGAGGAGTACTATGTTATTTTCGGTCTGTTTCTCAGTTCCCTAGAAATTAAAACTGGTAGGCACGTTACTAAAGGCTTCTACATTTTTTTTTTTAACTTTACAAGCCAAAACTTACACGTTTTCGTGATCAAAGTGTATGTATTTTCCAAGGGTTATCGCCGAAAGGGATCATACATCCAACCGATCGATAGCACACCTACGTAAAAAAAAGTAACGCAACGGAAAAGCGTAAAAGAGAATTGAATTGTAAAATAAACACGACCATTCCATCATTCGTCCCGTACCTACCGGTAAACCAATTTCTGACACGTGTTAACGTGACCAGGCGAACTTGTATGCCTTACGTAAGAGTTCACTGATCGACTCCTACCCCCAATGAATTATTCATAAAAAAAAAAGTTACACAACCATCGGATCTCCCTGAAAAGTTAGCTCAAAGTCACAACAATCGTACGATCGACGAAATTTTGATTCGTACAGCTGAGCACTCACTTTGACGATAACCTTGGCTATACAAAAATTGTACTCTGAATATTGTAAGTAGTGATAGATTCTGGTTATCGCGTGAAAATCACAAAGCTATAGAATTCAACATCGATGAGAATTGAGGGTGATTATATTTTCATACTCGAGCACTCCGTCCGCCACTTTACACCTCGCAATTAATAATCAACTCTCAGTGAATTTGATAAAAATCGGTGGATCGAAGAGAAGAGCAAAAACATGCGTAGCAAAACTTCACCTGTATTGGTACTCTGCCATGATTTCCCCTTAAAAACGACCCTGCCGACCTGTCAAACATGATCTTCAAGTACTGCATGTGGCCGGAATCGGCCAAGGATGGCCCGGATAAGGCTCTGATCAACGGCACGGCCCCACCACCGGCAAACGTGCTGAAGCCAGGACGAAGCTCGGCCCAGGTAGCCGAGAGCTTCCTCGGCTGCTGTCCTTGTGCCTTTAGGTGCCGCAGGCCCGTTGGGGTGGATCAGGTCGACGATGGTGCTTCCAGTCTCGTCTCCCCGCGGGAGCCCTGCACGCCTGTCATTGCCATCCGGCTCAATGGCAGCGCCAATACTACGTATGATTTTTTTTTTTTTTTTTTTTTTTTTTTCAATCTACAGGTGGAAATGTTGTCGCTGGGAGCTTTAACGAAAAAAGAGCTTTGCACATTCACGTACTGCTGAGAGAAATGAAAAAGTTTAGTTTCATCCGTATACAGTAGTTGTGTGTTATTAATGTCGGGTTGAGGCATTATAAGTATTACAGCTGTTATACCACTGTAAGACACTATAGTCATAAAATAGTACAATTTATTGCGTTTACCACAGAAGATCCCCCATAAATGGAGAACAAAATTTACTATACTTGTATTCATTTCTCTCAATACTTAGATAATAAATGTGATTAAGTGTATTTAAAATGTGTATTACTTATATTTTTGTCGGTAATTAAAAATGCTCGTTACAATGTTCCAGTGGTAAGGAAAATATTCAGCATCGCGAGGCAAACGGCAACAAACCACGTGTACTCAATGGTGGCAGCAAGTCAGCGACGACGATTTCTGCCTCTGATCGAGCCCCTTCACCCCGTCAAGGTGAGTAAAACTCGTAACACGTTATCTTTCTCTGCTTTTTTTATTTCGATGAACTTCACTACTGAATAGATGTCGTATAGAGAGTAATCGATCGATTGATTAATACGAATTTATTGTGCCATGGTCTTACATACCACATGATAATAAATGTAGAGTTTGTATAGTACAAGAGATTTAACAGCTTTTACAGCTTACAGAACCCAGAAAATATGTAGAATTTCAAAATTTGGGTGCAACTCCAAATGAAATTGTGTGATGTTAAGTATATTAAGTTTGGATCGTAATATTAGATACTTTTTAATCACAATTAACAAAAAAAAAAAAAAAGGAAAAAAAATTTATGGTATCCCATTGACCATTCTGCCAAGGCGTTTTACAGATGAGCTAGTTAACTGTTTAACTAGTTCACTTTTCATTAATATCTTTACATCTATTTTAATTTTTTTGTCTCTGTACATACGTTTTTTTTATTTTTTTTACATTTATCACTTAATCTCTATAACTTACTTTGTCTGTACTTTAATCTTTATAGATGTATCTTTAATTTGTTATTACATACTTCAGTATTTAGAAGTTAACGTTTGTCTCATTTTAGAATTATATTATTGTCTGTATATTTGTGTCTCGATTAGAGTAAATATCTTTCAATTTTGTTCTTCTGGTGTTTTTTTACATAATTTTTATATCTTCTCTATCTATTTTCCCGTACTGTATGATATAAATATTTTATCTTAGCTTCTAATTTTATATTTCTACCAGTACTGAGTAAGTCACTCGATTACTTTTTTAAGTCTCTAAGATATTTTATATACGTACCGAAGTTAGTCCTGTCCATTGTACTTATTTTTTTTAAAGTGTCATTGCGTGTCATTGCCTTAATTTAATGTCAAATTTCAATTATTTTTAACTCTGGAAGTCATACATATAATATTATCATTTTTAGTCTTCGTTTTTTGTTTTACAAGTTTCAATATTTATTGATAGTTATATGTTTCTGAGGATTTACTGTTATTTCTAAAAGTGCCTATATCTTTACTTTTTGATGTTTTTCTCAGAATATTTGTACCTATAGGTAATGTCTTTCTAAATATTAATTTTTTTTTCTATCTAACCCAGGAATTATTTATCTTTATTTATTTTTAGTTGTTAACGAAAAATTTGTTTCTAAATTTCTGTTTTGTATAATTATTTCTATGTTTGTCACTTCGCTCATGATAACGATCGGTGTTAAGTTTCTGNTATTTGTACCTATAGGTAATGTCTTTCTAAATATTAATTTTTTTTTTTATTAGTTAGTATCTATTTCTATTTATACATATAGAGAGATTTCAGTGTTATACGTTTCTTGATAGTCTCTACAGTTTCTTGCGATGTGCCCCTCTTCCTTACACAAAAAGCAAGTGAGTTTTTTAGCCGAAAAGTAGATGTGCCGAGCTGTATTACCCGTGGAGACAGGTATAAACGCAGGGAGTTTATGCATTTCATTTTCTAAAATGAATATCTGCTTTCGGAAGCTTACTATGTGTGAGAATTGTGAGCCAAGAACGCTAGCTTTAATACTAGTGATTTTGGAGACCGGACTGATGCCTATTTTATGTAACTCCTGTATAATTAAGTACTCTGGTATAATAGGGCTGACATTGGAGATGATAACTCTTTGACTCTTTGATATCAATGGTCTAATTGGTAAAATTAAATTTCCAATTTTAACTGTTTTGATTTCTGTGCATAGAAAGTTGGCGTCTTCGATTGTTTTAAAAAACATACATACTCTGGCCTGAGAAATGCGTGAAACGTGAGTGATGTTGGCTGGATTCATAACAACGGCGATTGCTTGAAAGTATTGAGCAATTGAAATATTGTCAACTGCATCTATGAAGCTTGTGCCTCGGTGATAGCTGCAGTGACTATTCTTGCGTAGGATCGATTTTCTTGGTTACTAGTAATATCATTATTAGATCTAGCTTGGATAATTGCAGCTGACTCGGCAGCTTTTGTCTTCTCATCAGCACTAGAGATTGTATTGTGGCTACTATTCACAGAGTTAGCCGACCTCATGTTCAAATTTAGCTGGTTTAAATTGGTCATACCGCTAGATTTCTGTGTAGACATCTTTAGGTTATCTATGAAGTCCAACGAAAGGGACTTCTAACCTCTGTCTTATTGCAAGCTCGTGGAGCCTCAAGTAAAATTAAAAAAGGAGAGCCACTATTACCGTTGAGGCATGACCTCACGGTCACGATGCGTTAGTACGAAATAGTAGTTTTCCTACGAGTTTGAAAAGTCTCTGTTTGCGAACCGAGAGGTTTGCGGCCCGAGCCGAAGGCGAGGGACGTAACGAGGTTCGTAAAGAAGACTTTTCGAACGAGTTCCGGAAAACTGCTTTTTCGCCCGAGGAAGTACCAGCCTCCCAAAACCACCTGAGGGCGGAAAAAACCTTTTAAAATTTAGCTGGTCACGCACGAGACTCCTATCTATAGTTAATGGGTTATGATTGTACAGTCTGATGCGTAAAAAAATTTTTGTTTTTTCTATGTTAAGCGTTTTTTTAGCTATAAACGTTCACTGCACCCTCATTAGGAAAAACAGAGTTGGCCCCTGATGATTACCTACAAAAACTACTATTTTATACATAGAATGATAAAACTTGAGCTTTCCTTTATCTTTAGTACCACTAATGATAAATTACAAATCTACCAGCATGCAATTCTTCGCTATTTATATCGCAACAGGTATGTGTTTTTTTAATTTAGTCACGCCCGCATGCATACCTACAAATTATCAGACAATGCAAGATGCTATGTTACACAAAAGCAAACAAAGAAACGCCAAAAAAAAATGCAACAACAGTTACACGAGAGCATAAAGGAAACGGTCGTTGATGATACTATATAGATAAATTTACGGGGACGTAAGAGGAGCATCGGCATCTATCATCGAAGATTCCCTAACTCCCTTCATTTCTAATCTATAGTCTAATTGGACACTGTAATTTATTTATGTAATTATTATTAATGGAGGATTGATCCTATCAATGTTTTTTGGACATCAAGTACACGTGAAAGAAAAAATATCTTGTGTGTCCAACCCTTTCACAGTTCTCCACACGTCAACCCGGTACACATAATATATCCGCGTCCCAACCCCATATATTACCAGTAGGTGCCACCCATAGCTCTTTCTCTCTCGTCCTCTCTATCTCGTCGTCGATCGAAAACATTTGAACTGGAGCGGGAGGTTCTTAACCTCGACGCGAGGGCGACGAGTCCTGTCTGTGCCCACCCACGCGTCCATTTCCATGCACGTACATACAGGCTGCACCGAAGTGTATACATTCGAGCAACAGAATAAGCAATATATAGGAGAGCCCTGCACGTAACATGGGCTGACACTGCGCTGGTGTGCATCGGCCGGAGTCCTTTGGAGGGTATAGCCGTGCGGCTTGTGCATGCAGAGCGATAATCGATACTTTCGGCTGAATCGTATACAAACTGCATTATGGGCCACGTTACCGAGCGTGTCCCTTGCAATCGGCGTCCTTTTCGACTCGTCTTCTTCCTTACTCGATTCCTTTTTTTTTTTCCTACTCCGTTCAGCCGAGCGCATTATTGATAAGACCACGGCTTTGCCGATTTCGCTCGCGATCGATCGGCACACGCTCGCACATACCACCGAACATAATGACTCCCGCGGAGCTTTTTACGGTGCATCGCGATCGTTTGCGAGTACACACGAGATAATGCTTGCCCTCTCTTTTATTCATAGCCACGTGGTACTGTTTGGTAGTGGGATCGTTTTTCTTCATTGGCGTTTGAGGCCGGCTTTTATACGTGTATTTTCATTGTTTGGGATGCGTCGAATAGTGTGAGAACGAAAAACAAAGAGATTTTTTCTACATACTCCATCATGAAACTATAACTTTGATATTTATATTCCTACAGAATTCAAATAAGTAAATCTGTACTAGAAATTTTATAAAATCCGTGGCTATGTACTTAGCTATGAGCTACTTAACCTCATAACCTCTAAATCCAAACGTTTAATTTTTAACAAACCCTGAACTAAACTTCCGTGGTGTATGTTTAACTACACTGCTTAAACTTGGTAGTCGTCTCAATCCAAGTTGTTGTCCTTATAGGCTCTAATTCCAAGCCTTTTATTTAATAATCTTCGGGTATTAACCTTGTGAAAGTCCATAAGTAAAGTACATGAATTGAGCCCCCCAACTCAGTACTCATCTGAACTCGATCTTTAAACCTTAATAAATCGATTCACCTAAGCTCCATGATTTAATTATCTTTAAACTTGAGCTTAACCCTTAACCTAACGAGCCTCGGTTTATAAACGGAATGGTCTACATAATCTACAACTTGAAACTCAAAAAAACTTCTTAACATCATTTTTAATATTATGGCCACCTAACTTAAACTTATAACTCCATAACCCTGAATATAACTTTAGGCAGAGCTTAAGATTGAGGGTTAGAAGGTGACAGAGAATTGGGTTATTGGTTAATTATTTAGTTTAAAAATCAAATTTACGTACTAGTAGAAAGAATTACTTGAATTTAAGCTACATTAATCAACTGTTAATAAATGTGGATGTAAAAATAGACAAGTACTTAATCTTCAACAGTTAGTGAGTTGGTATTGGAGGTTACAAAAGAATATGGTTATGTCATCAAATGCATGTTTATTAAGTATAAATGATGGTGACATAACTTTTAACGAGTACTTGTTTGTTGCTAATTGAAAACCATGAATTGCAGTTGATTAATTTTTATCCACTACACGTAACCCTTTCTATCAGTGATGGAAAATTTACAATCAAACTAAAAACTTATGATTCAAAAATAAAGCTATGTAAATGCATGAACTTTAGGAAATGTCCACTATGAATCTTGATGGAAAGATTATTTTTATTGGAGGTCAGGTTAAAATGAATCGCATTTATGATAAATTTGACGCAAATGCGTACCTGGTACATTGCAAATACGATTCACGCAGTCATGGTTATAAATCATAAAAATTATCATTGGATCAAAAAAAGTTAAACTTCAAGGAAAACCCAAAAATTTCGGTACAGAGTGTACTTGAAAAAATGAATCTAGAGTCGTGATTTTAACCAATACGCATAAATAAAATTTATTCAGTTCGCAATTTCAGACGGCCCAGCATGTCGTATTAAATAAACGACTGTCAACTTCAATAATCCTTAATCAAATGACATACTTGCCGTATTTATAGAGCTAGTCACAAAATATGGCACGCAAGCTCATCGGTCAACTGTCGAGTTCTGAGAAAAAAAAGCTCCACTGTTTATCTATTCAGCGGTTGCGAACGAATGGATTCTTTATCGGACAGTGGAGTCGCGTGTGCAATAAAGCAAACTGTCGTGCCTTTGAATCACTCCCCCTCCAAACACCCCAGTCAACTGGTACAGTGACTCACACCTTCCCGCCCTTTCAAACCGTTCTCACTCGTTTCCCCAGATTTTCAGTATATGACATATATATTACAGTATAGCATAACATTTTACGCGTCATAAAATGTGTATTTCGTGCACAATGGTGTTGGATAGGTGGTGGTGAGGCGAGATCGAGCAGCGGGAGCAGCTTGTCGTCCAATCGATCGGTGTCGAGCCGAACGCGAAGCCGGCCGGCTCTACCGGCGCACACGGAGAGCGACGAGTCCAACACAACCGAGAACAAGTCTTTCAACGTGATCAGCGCCGAAAAACGTCACAGCTTGCACGACGCACCCGACGTTCCTGTAAGTTTCGCCACCAAGTGCTTGCTAAGCATATATTTAATGGAGGACAGCAAAACCAAAACGATTTTCCTACCCACAGCAACCCTTGCGACCGAGCTCCGATAGCGAGGACGAGCTGCGGCCCCCTGGGCAATCTTCATCAGCGAACTCGTCGTCCGGTCGGCTGAACGACCAGCCAAGCACCAACTTTGGGCGCTCGAGATCGGCGTTGTCGATCGACAAGGTACCACCGATCAAGCGCCAACCGGCGGCAAAGCACTCGCTCGAGTCCTTGCTGAGGGAAGCCAATGGGACGGCCAAACCCCGGGAGGACGTCCATCTGCCGCCATTACAGTGCAACGGCCACGGAGACCAGTCGTCGTCCGTCAAGTCCAGCCCGGCTTCCGGAAGCTCCATCAGCGAGCGGGCCTTCAGCGCCAGGCGCAGCTCCAAGTCGATCGTAAGTTCGAGGACGTATACTTTTGATGAATAGCACCACTGTCCTGTAGGTTTATCTCCATAAAATGGCTAGTTTCAAAAACGGCGAGAAAAGACTCGTGACTGTCAGCGTGACCAGCTTTTCTATTCTTACATATTGTGGCGCGATTCCGAAGTTTTGAGAGAAGGTTCTCAAGGTCCAATCCCAATGGTTGAAACAAAATTTTATCCACTTTGATGTCCACCACTCGTTTCAGACGGAGCTGAACAACCACCCAGCCAAAGAGTCGTCCGAGTCTCCTGCGGATGAGAGCGTGACTTTCGAGACGTTGGACTTCCGGAACGGCGTCTCGGCCACGAGGAGATCGACGAGCGCGACCCTGGCCGACTCGCCCCCCGGGCCCCGGCCGCTTTATGCAAACTCCAACGTCAGCCTGTACAGTAGCGACAGTACGACGATGGTAAGCTTTGGTTTGATCTACGATTCAATGAAGCAAGCTACGAGCGAAGCAACGAGTTCCGTGTGATTTTTGTGTGCACTCAGTCGCCGAGCAGCCCGAAAAGGTTCGTGAGCCAGAGCATGCCGGTCATCGCAAGGGCCACCGACTCGGACGACCCTTCGCCCGTGCCGATCGGCTTCGACGATGGACGTCTCGACGAGAGTTACTCGGAAGATGGGAGTGACGGGAGCCATGATGAGCTGGCCGGAAACAAGCCACAGGTTACGTCGCTGACTTTTGCACGCCTCTATACGTATCCACGTTTCCCCTGATACCCACGAACAGAAAAGCTCGCTGTAACGGTTACCGATCGCTGAGAAAAAAAATTGCCACTTGCTATCGTTGACCGAGACAAACGACTTGACTGGCTTGCTTTGGTAACCGAGGTACCCCTCAGGAGGACGAATTGTAGTTACAGCAACTATCAACTAGCTGTCAGTAGCTAAGTAGCTACACTGCCGTAAATACATGTAGATTACGGTGACTGACGATTTCGATCTCGCGTTTGTTTCATCACGATTACAGCTTAGACCACGAAATCGAGTACTGATGGTCAATAACATGGTCAATAATTGAGATCCTGATAGTGAAAATCGAATAATATTGTAATTAACTTGTGCTGCCAAATGAATTTCCCATTCAAATGAAAAATGATGAATTTCAACGATTGTACGAAACGTACGATTTGAATTCCTTTTTAATTATTATTATGAAAAAAAAAAAAAAAAAAAAACAAGTTTAAATCAGTAGATAGTTGTAACTCCACTGAACATGATTAAGTAATTTTGAATAAATTTCAATCTCTACTCTCTTTACTTCTACTACTAAAAACCTTCTTTCTGCTTATGGGGTCTAATTCAGACTACCGATTTACTGAATACCATTCGAGATCGACCGTCACGTGACAGTATTATTTTTTTCGATTGTTGGTAAAACATTACACGCTGCACAGTCAATAACGAATGGTGCTCAGTGAATTGACGGTGTGAACCAGACCTCCTGGACCCTTGGTAACACTTGAAGCTTATCCTAGTTTAGGGGGGTCGTAACGCACCGTTTTCTTGACCGATTTTTCCATTTCTTGCGTTGAAGGTATCGCGTCTGCCAACGCCGGTTGATCTACCAAAGAAACTGTGCAAGCTATCGCCATGCCGGTTGAGGCCCCAACGAAATTGCCAGAGAGCGTTGCCGTCGGTCACTAGCCGGCATCACGACAAACACCCGGAAAAAACGTCCAAGGCTGTGCAACAGTGCCTCGCTCAGCTGGACAGCAGCGCTTGGTACGTATGCATATACATCGATCGTACAGGTGCACAACGAAACTCCAAACGATCATGTCCACGTGACCCTTGGTCCACAGGGAAATGACTCTCAAGGGCCTGAGGATGCTGGCACAGCTGGCGAAGGAGGAGCCCGAGCAGTTGGACGCCTGCGTGCCTGGGCTGTTACCTCGGGTGCTCGGCAAGCACGTGAAGAACTTGCGCTCGCAAGTGGCCCGCGTCGCCTGCTCGACTACCAGCGACGTATTTCGTGCTCACGTGCGCGGAATCGAACAGGTTTGTGTATTGTTCGGTAAAGTGGGCCCCTCACATTGGGAGACTGATTCGTGTTTTGGTTTTTTTGTTCAAGGACCTCGATGAGGTCGCGGGAGTTCTGCTGCACAGGACAGCTGATACGAACAGATTCTTGAGAGAGGACTGCAACGCTGCCCTCGACAGCATGATCGAGCACTTTCCACCGCACCGGACCATCATGACGATCGTCAATCGTGGAGCCAAGTAAGAGCACCACTCCCTTCTCGAATCTGGTGTATTGATGAAAAAAAAAAAAAAAAATGCAATATCAATATTTTGCGGGGATTCGCTCAATTCGTTTGTTGTTTTTCAGACATCAGAATACGGTAGTTCACGCAACGACAGCCAGACTGTTGTACTCGATCGTCAGTGAAATCGGCCCGGACTGCGCGATGGCTCTACCGCGGGAGGTCAGGGACAAGCTGTTCTCGACGACGGCTAAACTCCTTACCGATGGGAATCTACAGGCGAGGTAATTCATTGACCAACTTTGATTTTTAATATGTTCAGTATGTATATGGCTACAAGTGATTCGGAGAATGCAAAAATATTTATTTTCTTGCAGGAAACACGCCAAGGAAACGTTCCGTCTGCTGGTACCGTGCGAAGGGTTCCGCAAGGCATTGACGGACTCCGTGCCGGAGAGCACCCTGCGACTGATCGAAAAAACCTTGCGATCTCTCTGATAACGCGGTGTAAATACATGATAGATGAACGATTTTTTTCAAAATAAAATTAAATAAAAACAAAAAAAATATATCAGAGTTTAGACGTATAGTCGTGCGGATTGTTCGATTGCGAGGAGAGAAAAATTTATCTACTAATTGCGAGTTCGTGGATGTTTGTTTACTTTTTTTGTAGATGAATAAATTAAAACCTATGGCTGGTTGTTACGGTGTGCAATATATCTGTAGAAACTTCAGGGGTGTGCAAAATAACGATTGTTTTTACTTATTTTTAAAAAATTTACCGTTATCTTTTTTTTTTTTTTTTTTTTTCTTATAATTAATAGATATACGTACCTAACGGAAAAAGAAGGTGAAGGATAACATGTTCGTATTTTTGATGAACAATTCATTTTTTATACCAGATCGTGTAGAATAGAAGAGTCTCCTGTGTCACTGTTGTAATGGTCGTTGCTGTTAACGTGAAAATGCTAAAATCGTGCGATTACTCATTGTGTAAATGTGTAGTGTCTTGTGTGTCCCATGTTTTTAGCCCACAGCCATAAATAAGACTTCGCGACATAAGATTTCGAATTATTTCGTTTTTCAGATATAAACATTTCAGGACTTTTCTCTAAAAACGCAAAGATTTTATGAAAAAATTTTCGTACGATGCAATCTTAATCATACATTGTTCAAAACTAAGTTGCAAAATTTTTGAAAAAAGTTTTAATTGCTATTAAACCACAGAGGGAACGATTTTTTGTATTCACCTTAGGTATCCCCATCAAATTTTTATTCTAAAAGTTGAATAACGTGAGGAATAATAGAATTTTCGAATTTTGGCCACGAATTCTCATGTTACAAATGGCTTCGGGGCTACTTAATATCTTATACAAAAATGACATCACAAACATCTTAAATTTTTCGCTCTACCACTCATGCATACATCATCACTCCTTGTATATTATGACATGTGAGTACATCTGATTTTTTCAATTGAGAAAAAACATTGATTCGCCCAAAATGTTTTTCTTTTACTGGCGTGTATTTTTCTACGAGGTAATGTAAAGTTCACAAAGTCGTTTTTGGGCTCGTATCGATATGAGTTTTAATGATTCCCATCAACATGTTATCTGGAAAATAAAAATTCGAAAATTCTTAATTGTTCGAAATCGTTTAAGCTTTAGCAACATTCCTAATTTTAAAGTGGTTTTTGTACATAAACTTGTAAAATTTCCTCCTCTTTGATTTAATTGACGTATTAAAACTCATGAACTGCATTTTTTAGCCATTTTGAGTCACCTTCAATCAGAAAATAAAGCTATCATTAAAAGCATCTCGAAACGTACTTCGTGAATTTCACATAATCTTCAGCTGGACTCGAGCAAGTTCATCAGCTCATTAATTTGAGCTGCATGGTACTGATTAAGCTGTCCTAAGCTGTAAATAAAAAGGTACCATTTCCTTGGAGTAATGATACTGTTTTGTCAATTTACTTGTATCATTTAAATTTCCCTGCAAGTGAATACAGCAATAAATAAATCCATCACTTTTTAGCATCAATTGTAATGTAGGCAGAAGATCGATAGGAGTATTTGAATCTGATTTTAGTGTCATTAATTAACAGTGTACATAATCATGCAGTCGTTGATGACAAAGTGCGCTAGTGGAGAAAAAAACCAGCATTTTTTAAAAAGAATCAAACAGTTTTTGTTATTGTAATACTTTTAATAAAGAAATGAAATTCCTAATAAAGTTGAGTTTACAATTTGTTTTACACAATCTACCTACTGTAGCTATTTTGAAAAGCAATGTTATTTTGTTTTTCGTAACCTTAAAAGCTTATTATTTAATTTCTATGATCAACAAAAAGTGTTGTATGATAAACTGAGTATTGTTGAACACCAAAGTCTGCCAAAAAAAAAAAAAAAATTAAAAAAAAAAAAAATGGAGAAAAGTGAAGAATGTTTCGAATGTGCGTGCTCGTATGACGGAGAAGAACAGGTAGAAGCCCAAATAGAAATAACCATCGATAGCATCGAAAACATTGTGAGTACCTCATCCCCTCGTTTGTAAAGCTGGTTTTGAAGCTGTAAGTAAAGTCACTCCATTGCGGACAGATAAGAAATGAAAGATTATTGCTGGAATTCGTGGTGGAGCACGATAACGCGGTTTTGGGGACAAGTAAATTAATTCGCGTCGATGCCAGTTATGAAAACATAGAAGCTACTCATCCCATCGACTTTACGTCAGAAGTGGTGTTTTCAACTAACGACCTCCGAAGCATAGAACCCATAGTGTCATCGCCAGTTTTAAGTAAATACATTTGCAATAAAAAAAAAAAAAATAAAATAAATAAATACAATAAACCAAACACAATGTGAACTGTTTAGTCAAGGTTTTTGAAATTCTCGAGAGCCACGATCAAACCGTCGAAAGCATCAAGGGCAAAGAAAGTAACGAAGAAATCCCAAAACGCCGATCTAGGAGCGAGAAAAGCACACTGGGTCTGTGCAACGTCGATCTGTTACCGATAATTTTGGGTACGCCATTCATTTTAAAACCTCGTTTGGCCACGATCTAGTTCAAAGGTAATCGCGACCACGTTCACTCAGGGGAAAGGTATTGCACCGAAAAACTGGTCCTTGAGACACCCTCGCTATCCTGGGACGGCGAAATCGTGTCCTGGGCTAATCTACCCAGGATATCGGTGACGATTAAACGGGAGGACTGCGACGTCGAGCTGCAAGACGCGCCGTTCAATCTTTTGACCATCACCGTCGAAAGTATTTACAATCCGCCGTCGTACTTCAATGACCACCTGGACTACAAGTGCGGCACCGTTTGGCGCACGGACAAAGACGTGTGTACCTGCGATTCGTTTTGAAAGGATATTTTCTTCCCACTAAAGTTAACGATATGGTTCAAGATCAAAGATTCGAGCATCGTGTTCGGTCGTGGAAAATGGACGGAGCTCCGCGACGTTGAGCAAACCAAGAGCTGGAGGGCCCTCGAAGGACTGAATAGTCGAGCGCGGCTGTCCAAGTACAAGATCAGCTGCGACTGCGAAGGCGTGAAAAACTCTTTCAAGCGTCGGTTCGACCTAAAAGTTACCGATCCCCTATTCGTCTCGATGCACAAAGTTTTGCTTTTCTTCTTTACGAGTTTGGTTTTGCTTTTAGACGACCATCGACCGCAACGAGAAGAGAATCGAGTGGAATTCGATGCACAGAATATTACTGGACGACGAGTGTGCGGGTCATATTGTGGATCGGTTGAACAGGTGAATTGCGCTGTTGTAGATTTTTCTCGGTAAAAAGTGACGCTGCGATGTTTGTAAATTAAGACGCAAGTGTTGGCCTTTCGAGATAATGGTGTCGGAAAAAGACAGCGAAGATCCCAAGCACGAGTCCGATGATGATGGTTTTGGTGCCGTGGTTTACCAATGCTACGTGGACGCGGGGCAGTTGCTTTTTCCAGGAAGTAAACGAGATCGGTTGATCGATATGATTACGGCGATTGCGTTACCTAGATTTTTTTTTTCATTTTAGCAACGAAGACGCGAATCTTGTCACAACTGTTCACTCAAAGTTTGCCAAAAATGAAAGAGAAAACTGGGTTATCCTCGAGTATATTCATCGATCGCGCAAATCAGGATGACCACGATCGAGGAAGCAATGACTCTTGTGCTGCAGATACAGTATTGATTGCTCGTTCTTCCAAAAACTGCTAAAAAAAGTGTTTATTTCTGTGTTGATTTCAATACTTAAAGCTCGAATTCGAGGTGCAAGATGATGTTGAGGATCTTCCTCTTTTTACGGAAAGCGGAGCACCCGTTCTGATCCTAATCGAGTTCGAACTGCATCGTCCATTCTTTGCGTCCCGAGATTTGGAGGACTACATAGAAGCGTAAGTATATTTAGTTAAAAATTAGAAATATAGGCTTAAAAAAATGGTGTAAAAAAAGGGGAAATTTTTAGCCTGGAAGATTTGAGGAGGAAGCCGAGGCCGAAGCATTTGTTGTACGCTTACACTCCGGACTTGGTTCGCGATCAGTACGTCGACTGTGTCAAGCAACTCGTGGATATACTCGGGGAGGATTACCGAGTAAGTATCATATGGTTACGGATTTTTTTTCTTCTTTATTACGTTGTCTTTTTTTTTTTTATTTATCAAAATCGTTTTATAAAATTTAGTTTATTTTAGTATGGTTAACAAAGAAATTGATGCACGGTTTCACATAAGTATCATTAAAATGTCAATGGTAAATTACAACCAATAAATTTTGGCAAATAGCTTATAAATAATTTTCCAACAATTAAATGAGCTTTGATTTAGCTTACTTTATTCGTAACAAATTCTTGTACTTAATATCTAAAAAAGCTACATAAAATTAGGAGGAAAAATTGTCTCACAGCCGGATAAGTAGTATGTATATACGTCATTTTCTAGTTCCACCATACACACATAATTTTTCTTTATATATATCTACACATGTGACCAAATCGAGATTTCTTGATAATATTTCAAGAATTACTCGAGAGCAAATTAATATCTAATTTATAATTTTTTAAGAATAAAAACTGATTCTGAAAAACATCTTTTCGTTTTGTCTTGTGACAGAAGGATACTAATAGTAAGTATCTTGTAATCTATGGTGAAACTTATAGCGACTATGTCAAGTTTTATTGAAATTTGTTGGACTTTTTTAGTGTATATAAGTCAAAAACTTGCAGTACCCTCATTCAGCACTAATATGACAATGAGAAATGAAGTCTTGTGAAAAAAAATAACACTTTAACTGATGAATCACAAAACATTTTAATTATTTACATTATTGTTCAAATCAACACGGACTTGGGTTTTCCATACATAATAAAATATTATTTTTTTTCAGTCCAGTGTCTACAGCTGAAAGTGTGGTTCCTTAAAGAATATTCATTATTAAAGCTAAATCCACAATTTCTGCAATAAAAATCTTTAGATGTATACATTTTAGTTTTTGCGCCAACAATTATGGCCGTATTATTTGTTGTACACGAATTGTATTTGTTGCTGTTCATAATTCTAATGTAGTTACTGCAGTTGTGTCGATGAAGCTGCTCTGAAAAATAACATATTTAATCATTTGTTGCGATATTTGAGTAGTTCAACTATACATTTATTTATTTAAAATGTCCACTAGAAAACAGTATGATAACAATTAAGTTTATTAACTATTTTTGCTATCAAAATTGAGATTTTAATAAAATTCTGGTCATTTGTTACCGATAACTTATTTGCACGTAATCATTGTTCTGAATTTTTGCATTTATGACGATGAATTAAATAACTTTTTGTAAGAAAGTCTTAAACAAAAAAGAAAAGATCAGAACTGTTGTTCAATACATAAATAACCTGTAGTTCTGTGAATTCATTTTCTACCGATGCATCAAAAGATAGTGCCATTGAAATGATTGAAGCACTAATAAGTGCAGAAAGAATTGTACTATTAATTAAATTGTGACGTAAAGTATCCCTACTGAAACTTGTTTTAAATTAAATTGGTACTACTAATGAATGGTATACGTAAAAAAATAACAATAAATTAATAACGTAGCCAAACTATAAGTTATTTCAATTCAACTAAAAACTTAATATTATAAAGTGAGAATAAATAAGGTCTTCTGATTACTTCAAAAAATTAAATAATCTACTAATACACAGGTATAAAATACACAATTTTTTTAACGTCAAAAATGTTCGATTTCTGAGTTATTTTACAAAGCTTTGAATAATGAAAAAAAATTTAACCCAAAATGAAGTAACCTCTGTTATTATGTGCAGGTAATCGTAAAAGACAAATAGAAGCTATTAAAATTATTCGAACTAATTGAGCAACTGTTGAAAATTTACATTACTTTCAAAGTATATCTAATGATCATAAGAAATAACTCTTATCTTGTTTTCTGAAATAATAAAAAATCAACATCTAGTTGTAATTTTTACTACATATTTATACATGAACTTTCGTCATTTTTCGAAAATTATTGAAATTAGTTTTCATCTTGTTTGGTCGACAGCCAAGAATAGCTAAAAAATTTGTTCAGTTTAAGAATGCAATAGAAAAATTTATGAAGTTATATTAGAGAAGCGTTTAACATCTCATTTTTAAATCTTTTTAAGTCCTACGAGGCAATATCATTAGTTTTTAAGATTTTCGTTTTCTTTACCCCTATTGTGGGAAAATTAGTTTTCGATACCTTAAGGATTTGTTTTGAGAAGTTGCTACAAACCTATATTGTTCAAATTATTTTTTCGTATTTCCATGATTGTTCTCCTATTTATCACGCTGAAAAACTTTACTGTATCGTGATTTAAAAAAAAACTCTGGTCCCTGTACTAAATGATACAAGAGGCTTTTCTTAATTATTTTTTCCATGGAAACTGTTATAATTTCAATACACTTGTGGCACAAAGAATTCCGTTCATTAAGTGGATTATGAAAAAATATTGGACACGTCTATTAAGTTTTTTTAGTTAAACACTTCTAGAGATGAAACTCAATATAGTCAAGGAATGGCGGTTGTAATGACGTCTTCTGTATATCTACTACAGATAAAACGCAACGCGTAAATTAAACTTTCTTTATCTCCTCGTTTATCTCCGTTTGTTTTTTGAAGTAAAAAAAATGAAGCAAGTATTATTATTATACATTGTATATTATATTATTACATACGTTTTCAATATTATTTAATAATTTGCCTGACGGTCCAAGAGAAATTTTTATGCAAGAACCTTATTAACTTATCTATTTTTAATTAGTATATAGATAGACATTTTCTTAAAGGTCGTATATTTGATTTATTAATTTTACTTTCTAACTGTCTATAGATTGTTTTTCAAGTTGATATAACAACTCAATAATCATGTGAACTATTTTTGAAACCTCTTTTTATCTATAGTTAAGCACTAAAGAATTTTCGTATAATTTTTTATTTGCCAACTTTCCATTACATTATCACATGACTGCTAGTAACATAATGAGTTTTTTAGTTTTTTAATGTTCACTTTTCAAATTCTGCTTATGGTACAGAAATAAATCGAAATAAGTTACCGAAGATATCAAAATACTAATCATAAGAAGTTAATGAACAAATAATCAGAGCTTGTGAGGTGTGACTGTTTTTAATTATAGAAAAAAAGTACTCACTATTTTTTTTAAAAGTATTAAAAAATAATCCTAATATTTTTTGCAAAAGTTAAAAAAAAGGAAAAATGCAAAGTAAACTACATATTCTATATATTTACTCATTTTAAGTTAAGATTTATATTTACCAAAATAATGTTGAAGTATTCCAATAGGTTCAGTGCTGCCGATACGCTGGTGTTACAGTCAATGTGACAACATATATAGACTCTTCATACTATTAGTGTGTGATATGTTTATCACCACCACGGCCTCTTTGGCCACGGTGTAAGAATAGACAGGTGGGCCGAAGGCCTACCTCAACGCATTGAAAAAAAGTTCAAATTTTGTCGCAGTACCGATACTAGCCATCAGAGGGATCCGTGTCGTGCAGGCCATTGATAGTATGAAAATTTTTTTTTTCTTTTTTCTTTTTTTTTTTTTATATAGTCATACTGACCATTATAAAAACTGCCTCTACTACTCGAAACCACCTAGCGGATTTTAGATGTACTGCGACACAAATTGGACTCGATAGAGGCGGGCCTTCGGCCCACCTGTCTATTCTTACACCATGTCTTTGGCTCTGGGCTGTAGCTATTCGTATAGTCATTTGTACGATAGGAGATAGTGGATGACATCACAAGAGCATAAAAAGAATGTTTCATACTTTAAAATTATGAGCGTGACCGAACAAAAGAAATATACTATTTATCAAAAATTGTTCACTTCACGCGCTAGTATTTTTATTTTTAGCTTATCTCTAACCCCTTATGAGATATCGGTGAAACAAACTATTAACTCTATTTTAAGGGTGAATGATAAAAGCTTTGAAATTTTTTACTATTTTTAACGTGATCTACGGTTTAGTTTTACATCAAATCGTGTGTAATAACAAAAATGACCCTTTGGAGATCAATTTTTAGTTTCATCAGTTTTTACTATCAATCTTAGGCTGACCATGGCTCTCCAAATACTATTATGTATAAAAAGCATGCAATGATTGCGACTACCTTGACGCATTGCACCTCCAACTGTAGACTGAAAAAAAACTGTCCGTATCATAATGTCTAATTTTAGTTTTATTTGCATATCGTACGTTACAAGTTAATGAGACTGTGAAAATTCAGATGAATATAGTAAGTGCATAATATATACCTAAGATGCTGGTTATTGCGCTGTGATTTAAAAAAATCTTCTCATAAGAATCAAGATTTGAATTAAATAATCATCAAAACTATGAAACCTACAACTCGAGCGATTTAAAACGGAATGCTAATACAATTTATCAATTGTAAATGTATATTATTTCTAGTTTGATTTTAGCATTTTTCCAAAGTCATCAGTAAATGATTTTTATGAAAAGTCACCATTCGGTTTATACATGTTGAAAAAAATATGTTGTTGGTGACTCTATTTTTTAAGAAAAATGACTATTTTAAACGAAACGCAAGTAAGAGTTTTTTAGTTCTTAAGTTAACTACTTGATAAAAATACAATCATTTTTCGAGTAAAATTTTTTATTCATGGAAAGTCAAGTTTCAAAATAGATGTACTGAATCTATGTTGTTGAAATATGTGATTTTAGAATTTTGACCTACCTTAAGTTAGTCATTGATTACGTATATTGTAGTTGGAAGTAAGTGATTCCATTTTTGTCAAGTTATTAGCGGAAGAGTTTTCATTTGCGTTTCATTTGAAAGAATTAAATCATAATAGTTATTACATTGCGTAAAATAGTTTTATTTTTCGTGTACAATGAGGCAGTTAATCAACTAGTTGATCCTGTGTAAAATAGCCATGAAGTTGCCAATAATATATTAAGAAATCGCAAAAAAATAGCTGTGCACTACATCTAAAAATAATTAAATCGCCAACAAAAGTAAAAAAAATCTTGATTTTGGCGTTAAATCGACATATGTAAATGCCACCCTATAGTTGCTGAGTGTAGCTGAACTATACCACTATATAGGTGGGAGGGGTGTGAGATCAACGCTAAGTAAATCGACAGTACATGAAAAAGAGCACCTTTTTGTTTACTCACTTCCTCTCTCAAGAATGAGTTAATTATAAAGTGCTAATGGTGTATTAATGCACATTTAACATTTCCGTAAAATAATTTTTGGATTTTTAAACTTGACAAGCTTAAAAGCTTCTTTTCAAAGTATTGTAAATAACTAAAAAATTTTTTTGTATGATTATCTTCAAGACACCAAAAATCTTTACTACGTCGTGGTCGGGCAAATATATTTTTACTAGTAGATCTACATTATTTTAAGTCAACTATTGTTTGATGGAGTTAGTTAACTAGAGAAAATAAAATTTCAGGATTTTGTTGAAAAACACAAGTGGCAAGAAGAGCATGAGAAAATGACAAAGTACTCTAACCCAACGGATACATCGTGTCAATCTGCCAATCCCAAGCCCAATTCCGGTGATGCAATGACATGTCCTTACTATTACATTCAAGTTGGTCGATATCGCTTATGAAAATTGAAGATCTGAACTTTGTATTCTCGCAAGCCTAAACATTTGATTTTAATTCACCGCAGGACGATTTGAGTCGCTTCAAACAGTATCTTCATGAGTCTGGGAAGTACGCCACGATACGTGATAAGCTGAAGAGCAAAATCACCAACTTGTTAGATCAGAAGCTTGCGCTCAAGCCTTCCGGATGGTATTCAATGGAAAACCAGGTTCACTAAGCCCTTTTTTTCAATCAATCTGAAACTATGACCTGATTGGCCCTCTTCTAATAACCGGTCTCAGCACTAATCACATTATTGATCTCCAGAGATAAATACCTCGTAAAGTAGTGATGAATTAGCAACAAAGAACTGTGCAACGAAATTACGAAAAAAAATTTTCATCCAAACACTCAGCACTGTTGGTTGATATACTTTATTATGAATGGGTTTTGCCTCTTTTAGAGCTCACACACCAAATATCCTATACTTGTAATCAAGAATTTAATGTGCAATTTTTTAGGCTATTGCTTAATGACATTAATGCAGCTTGCCAAAACCCACTACAAATGATTCCTTACGCTTTGTAGCAGTCAAAGTGACTCAAAGATTCATAGTTCTGCTTGTTAGAATTTAAAACAACTTTGGATTCTAATTACCTTTATCTTTAAACCTTTGTTTAAACCTTTAAACCCAATATTAGTGGCTATCTATGTTTTTATGCCGTTACTTACTTATTTTTCATATCCATTAGCCGATTATACTTTTTGTGTTTCTTCCTCTGTAGATATGTCTAAATAAGACTGTCCTCAAATAGCTTTCTGTTCATGCTATTATTTTAATTCCTTACGTTCACATTTTTGCTTATCTTGGCTTTCTGTTGATCTCTTTGTCGTTTTATTTATTTTTGAGTCTCTATCAAAACTCATCTATCGTCCATCTGTATGGAAATGTTCTTCTAAGTTTCCGATACTCTTTCTAGAGTCTTTAATTAACGTACTCCTTGGTGAGCACTTATACGTCCTTATTTTTTCTGCATCGAGACACGTAACTTCAGCCGCCATGTTTTTATTACTAGGTCTCTGTATCCATTTCTTCTTCAATATCTGTTTTTATCTCGCTATCTCAATGTACACATTTATCCCCGTCAGTCTCCCTCACTAGGTATCTGTCTTCGTGATATGAATTTGTTTCTCTATTTTTAAACCGATACCTGTGGTCAAACAATCTTTAACTTTACGTACTTGTCTCTTTTTCAAAGTCAATATTGTTTTATCCATGCTTCGGTTTCACGACTTTGTATTTTCCGAGAAAATTAATAGTAAGATGTATTTCCTGTCTCAAACATGTGTCAACACAGAGTATTTTATTTGTATAAGTACTTTGAAAAATCGACAGGTAACAACCACCATCTTTTCAACGGCACATTTCCCTCAACTAAATTAGTAAATACTACCGATTGGCAGCATTTGGCTCGTTCAAACGTCAACAGACACAAAATTAACCATTAAAAAAAATTACTCGCTAGAATTTCATCACCTCGTGCTACACGTACTTGGTGGAGCAAATGCACACGGCACTGAACGACAAATTGGAGGTTCGGCAATCGCTCACGCCTTGCACCGACGAAAGCTCCGACGAGCTTTGGCTGCGCGCTGAAGAGGCTCACGAGTTCGGAGACCACAAAAAAGCCGACATGCTCTTTACAAAAGTACATTATAATGAAATAGCGAGCGATTGTACAGAGGATACATTGTATCGGGTGGAACTCCTTTATTTCATGAAGTGTATGATTTAGTTGGTATACGAGGATCGCAAGAACCCGGACGCGTGGGTGAGGTACGCGGCTTATTTCGCACGCAAGTCCGAGTTCGACGAGGCGACCGAATGCTGCAGGGAAGCCATCGAGTTGAACGCTCGCCACAAAATTGGGTAAACTTAAATTTCTACTAATCGTTGAAATTTAATCGAAATAATACAATCGTTCCGTAGATTGATGTTTTACGGGATTTTACTTGCCTTGAAAGAAGATTACAACAACGCGGAGGTGTTTTTGAAGTCCATCCTTTACATGTACCCGCGGTTTGCCGAGGGCTGGGCTGTCTTACACTTGTTTTACGTAAAGATCCAGTACTATCCAGGTAACTGATTGTAAATTCGGAGACATGCGTGTATTAGAATTTTAATACATAATCATATTTTTCCAGGCATTGACCTTACCCTTAGTACTGCGGAAAAGTGCCTGCACGACAGGACGCGTGACACGGAAGACACGAGTTTTCTCGACCAAGAGGCACTCGCGTGGTCAACGATGCTCTGCAGAAAAAACCGGATTTTCCACCTCACGGCGGTGCTGCTGCTCAAACTGAACCTCTACGAGGTGACTGGGCATTACAAATTATAGTTGAGAGTATTTAATCGATACGAACGTAATTGTTACCATAATGTGTTTTTTCCCCAAAGTTTGCCGAAATGGCTCTAGCCCAAGAGCTGTGCCATGGCGAGAGGGACGTCGAGTTTCTGTACTTCACGAGCGTCTGTCACTACCTGCGCGGCGACCACGCGGGCGCGATAACTCTACTGAGCGAGGCTGAAATGACAATCGGCCTGGTACGTTTTTACATAGTTGTCCTCAATTGAATCGTGTTGGATGGACCGGGTGTAAACGCGGCTGCGTGTTTGCGGTTTACCGATTTGGCTGTTTACGAGATTCAGGGCGAGAGGGATCGAAAACATGCTTGCGCTTGAAAAATCCTTTGATTAGAAGATTTGGAATGGAAAATCGGGGAAGGTCTCGCAGAATGAAATCATAAATTTTTCAATCGTATAGGAGATTGATGGAACAATATAATGATACAACTGTGATTTTTTACGTTGCCTCAAAAGATAACTCGCTAAATAGTCTTCCTGAGTCCTCAATCTTGTGTACAATTCGGCCCAAGAATGAGTTGTTTGTGAAACTTACAAAAATTAGGCTGCAGAAACGAAAAAATTGTAAAATTTTTAATATCAAATGAACAAACGAATTGAGCAAAATTGGATAGAACCCACCAACATCTGGTTTACATTTTGATTAGAGAAAAATACCATGAGGTATCGGAATGACGGTACATTCAATAGTTATTTTTGAAACCTTTTTCTTACATCTTTGAGGTATATTTTTGGGTATGAAAAAAAACGTGACACTATCGGCAACCAGCTTCTTCGATCTTCCATGTCGTCTCATCCACAGGAGTACAGCGTGGCTGCTCTACTGGGCCACTCGCGTTACAAGCTGCACATCACCTACGAGGCAGTTATGAACTATGAATCGGTCGACATGATGTACGACAGACCGGAGGCCATTCATCTGGTCCACATGAAATTGGGCTTTCACTACATCGACTCCGAGGAGTACGAGCGCGCGAGAAACGTCTTCCTGCGAGCCAGCGCATGCCCACACCGCACCTGCAAGACTTGGCTCGGCCTTGGGATCGCGAGCTATCACGTGAGTGTGTACCAGAAAGATTTTGGCTTTCAACTTTCTTCCTGCGCAAGGGATACAAATCTTTGTCTTTTCACAAATGATGTCTGTAAGGTGATCAAGCATCCACAGTCGTTTCATGCCTGTATGAGAATTGATTGTTCAGTTTCTAATGGTAATTGTTAAAATGCTTGCAAAAATATGTAAAAATATTTCAAGCAACATTTACATCACTGATTTTTGAAAAATATTGGAAAATGAATAGTGCAGTTCACCGTGGAACAAAAGTTTTTCTTGTTCTTGTATGAGTGTATAAGCTCTCGTGCTTTATTAGAGGATAAATAAATTTTTTTTTAAATACTTTAAGCTTTGGAGTAATTTAAAAAAAAAAAAAAAAGTA